GGTGTGAGTGTATGTGAGAAAAAAATCAGTTAATTAACAGTTGAGATGCGGGCCCAAAGAGCCAGAGCACAACCCCCGCAAGCACAACTAAGTGAGAACACAGTTGTAACCTCATTCAGAGCGCCACTTGCGGCCTTCGACCAATCAACGTTACTCTCCTCGAACAATTCAAGTAGTTGTGATGTTACTTTAACACATTCATTGTTTCACAAGGAAAACCGGTAGCTCGGTGTTATGGTATGAGTACCTCATCAGCCCGTCCTCCTGGTGTGGCAGTACTTACAGTAACCACGAGCACCACACTATATATACCCACGCACAACGAAATTAGAAAGTAGAATCTGAACTATTGAGTTGGACAAACCGGAAAACTATTTTTTACTTGTGTTGCTTCGACAAAGTAAACTAACCCAGACCTCCCTAGGCCTAATACACAATATCCGAGGCCTAATATAGTACATATGTATGATATACAATGTCTAGGCATATTTATCTTTGTGTTTTAGCTTCATTTATTTCAAAAGAATTCCTTACTAGTCAGTATACTACTATCTAAAAGCTAAGTACCTACCAATTCTGACTATTGACGATCGTCACAATTGTAGTAAGCATCCATCAGTCTCAGGAGACTATGGAGTTGCGCTCTGGTTGTCGGTCTGGAGTGGCCTCACCAGGGCACAAAGCCAGGATATGTTGATACAAGAGAGAAGCTGTCACCAATGCAGCAGGTTCCCCCTCTCCACGGCGCCGAAAGTCTCCAATGGAAAGGCAAACGCCAATACGATTGATTCCAGCGCCGTCGTCAGAACTGTTACAACGAGGGTTGAAGGCAACGACGAACTGCCCCCGGGGGCTCCAGCTCCGGAGTTCACCTCGAAGTTGGTAAAAGAAGGCACAGGAACTCCAGACCCGGAGACCGCTGTGGTCGGGGCCGGAGAAGAACCACCCCAGCAAGGGCAAGAACGACCCCAGCCTCCTGAAGCAGAGTCTGGGCCGCACGACCCCCGGGAGGTGGACGTCCCGGTCCCGCACCTACGGGTTACAGAGATCGTCACAGCCCCCTTGCACCCGAGGCCGGCTTCCTTCATGACCCAACAGAAGGAAGAGTAATAATTCTTAATTATAACAATTATTACACACAGTAGCGTGATATATCAAATGAACAAATCCACAAGGGCCGATATATCACATATCACGATATAACACGCTATTGTGATTTCTGTGTGTACTGAAGTAAGGGCGAAGAGGTAGAACATATGGTAGACAGAGCCCGGGTGTAGGCAGGAATTGTGTGACACCCTTGACCGGGCTTGGGAGAAGCTTCGGGATCGTAGTGAAGGCGGTAGCACTCCAGGTTGCAATTTTTTTTACCCATATGGTGATACAGTTGATTAAGGAGCAGCTGGGAACATCTCATGCGTAGGTTCGAACCCTCATCACACCCCTTGTGAATTTGTTCATATAACAATTATTATTATAGTTATTATTAATTACTGCAAGTTTTATTTTAATTATTATTAATTACTACAATTAGTATTATAAATATTATTAATTATTACAATTATTATTATAATAATATAATTAATCATATAATTAATTATATATTAATCTATATAAATAAAAATATACATGTTCGTTTGTTCAAAATCGCTAATCTCCGAAAGTTCTTCACCAATTGCTTCGAAATTTTTACACGTTTCATTCGCATCCGAGCGAGTTCTTATATACATTCTATATAGATGTCACGTCTGTGACGGGAAAAACATGTTTTTTTGAAAAACTGTGTTTTTCATGTGTTCTTTATGTGAGGAAAATCTTTAAAACCTCTTTACCGGTTCCTTTGAAATTTTGACACACCATTGCGTTCGAATAGGCGCGTGTTTTTATATACCTACTATATACGTGCCTCACCTGTGACAGTAAAAAACATGCATTTTGAAAAACAGCGCCATCTGTTGGACGTAAGAGCAACTCGCGCTGTAATCTCCGAAAGTTCTTCACAGATTCCTTTGAAATTTTGACGTAACGTTTCATTTGAATACGCACGTGTTTTTATATACCTGCTATATAGATGAACACCTGTGACAGGTAAAAACATGCCTTTTTTGAAAAACAGTGCCATCTGTTGCACTTAATAGCAACACACGCTATACTAAATATGTTACAATTCCATTTCATTGTTTCCGATTTCATTAATAAATGGAATTTTCATAGATTTCGATTTATTTTCATTTTGATTTAACTATTTTGTGACGTTGTGTTGGAATTGAGCTGTGTTGTTTACCATACCGTTCATTTCGTGAGTATAAGTATAGATACCAAACCTGTGACACGGTAAAAACATGTTTTTTTTTAAAACAGCACCATCTCTTGCACGTAGGAGCAACACACACTATATTAAATATGTTACGATTCCATCACATATACATGTTACGTGCCTTCACGTATACCCTGAGTGGCTTCATGTATACCAAGAATGCGTTGGTTGCTTACAGGTGGCGGTGAGTCAAAGGTTGCTGCCCCTGCGATGCGTTGTGTGTCGAGCGAAGATCCTGCGGCTGCGACAGGCCCGAGACGCGCCCTTCCCCACCTCCATCTCCCAGTACTCCATGGCCGCCGTCGCCGCCTCCGGCAGGTGTATGCCGACCTCCTCCTCCCTCTACTCCTTCGGTTCCGGGTCCTCAGGGATCTCAGGTAAGTGAGTTTTGCGTCTTGGGACTTCCCACAGCGCTGCTCAGTGGGTGGTGGGTCGGTGGATGTCTCAGAGAATAGTGGTTAGGGGATGCTTGCTAGGGGCAAGGGGTTTAGGGGGTGCTTGCTAGGGGCAAGGGGGCTAAGGGTTGGTTGCTAGGTGACAGGGGATATGAATAAGAGGTAATGGGTGTAGTGTTCTAAAGAAGTGTCTGTGATAGACATTAATTCAAAAGAATCAGAGCAGAGTACTGGAAGTACAGGACCATGTACTTAAAGAATATATGTATGTAGTAAGCATCCATAGCCTCCTATGACTGAGGGAGGCCTACATATGGTATGTTCTGTGTAGGCACTTGGAAAGTTGTGGCACGAAGGTAGAGGCATGACTGGTATTGGTCTTGATGGTAGCGGTAAGGCATGCTGGGGGCTGGACACAGACGGTGGCGTGAAGTATGGTAGCGTCGATGGCGAAGACCCGAGACTTATAGTGCCTTGGACGGCAGTACATGGAGGTACTCCACTGCCCGGGATGGTACTAGCCGGTACTTGCTGTACGGTACTAGTCGGTACTTGCTGTACGGTACTAGTCGGTACTTGCTGTACGGTACTAGTCAGTACTTGCTGTACGGTACTAGTCGGTACTTGCTGTACGGTACTAGTCAGTACTTGCTGTATGGTACTAGTCAGTACTTGCTGTATGGTACTAGTCGGTACTTGCTGTACGGTACTAGCCGGTAATCGCTTGGAGAATTAAGGTCATACAGAGCAGTTGTCTGGTCAGAATTAGCTTGAAAATTATTTATCAAATCCGCTAATAGCAAATTGATTTAAAAAACCATTCGTGAGTGTCTCACAATTCTGAGTAACTTACAGTCCTCAGTGTCTTAGAATTCTAAGTGCTTAATGCTTTTCAGCAAAGTCTAAGTACTTTACATTTCTGATTAAACAGGTAAGACCATTATTGATGCATTTCCCTGTGTTGATGTCCCATCACCAGTTATACGCTGTGTGTTACTTGTGTTACTGTACCACTGTCACAGGGGTCACTGTGTGGCCACAATGTACCGAGAGTACCACTACACCACTGTACCGTCTACAGGACTGTCGAACGTGAGCAGCGGGAGTTCGAGCAGCGGCGGGTCGTACCGGAGCGTGGGCCGGGGTAAGGTGGGTTCGAGACCCGTGGCCGTCTACGCCTCCAGAAGACTCCCCCAGGGCAAGAAGGCCAGGTACACGGTACGTACCCCGCTCTCACACTCTCTGAGCTGCGTCTCTGAATGTTTAGCTTGGATTCCACGTTTGTTGCCACACAGCTATTGTTGTGCAGCTGTGTTGCCTACTGCTGTAGGCAACAGCTGCACCAGTGCAGCTGTTGCAGCTGTGGGGTATTGCCTTCGTGTGGGGACCTACAGTATTTAAACACATAACTAACCCATTAGGGCCGGGAAAAGTGGTGACTAATATGTCTCCAGTACGGGCCATGATTGTAACAGACTAGGCTGTTGTAAGAATTATCCAGAGTGGTTTATCGACAAAAGAGAATGGGAAGCTGAGCCGCATGGTGACCTGACCCCCAGGGGAATTCGCGGTGGAAATAACCAACGCTTTGTTCATAGCTGCGTAAAATGAATCATCCTATAGTATTCAGTAATTTAGAGAAAATTAGCCTTTATTCATTTTGCATTAAAATTGTATTGTATAATAGTACTGGATACAATATCAAGAGTATTCTAATTATTGAGTTTAAGTCACCATCAGTGACGTCACGAATCAGATCTAACTTTTAAGGCGGAGTGACCGGCGGTCATAGGTCATCAGGGGTTGACAGGTCTACTATTTCTCAAAGTTTTAATAACCATTTTTGTGATCGGGAACAGCTCTGCCGTTAGATGTTTTTAATTTAATTCAGTAAAATAATTCAACCAGTCTGGATCAATTCAGTACAAACAGAGTTTAATTGTTATAACTTAACCTTGCTAAAGTAACTGGGTAAGCGATGCGGAACAATACAATGTTCTAGTCTGGGGTAGACCAGACAAGAGAGAGATCAGTGTGGAAACGGGAGCAGCTGGGATAAGAGGTCAAACATCTTACCTCTCCCCAAGACCAGCCAAACATCTAGCTGGTCGCCCAAGGTATAGTTGCTATTGTTAATTATAGAAATAGTCTTCTCATTTGCCACTCAGGTCAAGTAGGGAGTGTTAAAGTGATAGGGAGTGAACATATTTAGATTTTGTTTTAGTTTTCTTTTAATAAATTAAATTTGTTATTAATTTGCATTTTATTGTTTCCATGTGTTTTATGTGTATACTTGTCCTGGTCACGTGGTCCACACGAGGCAGAGTTGCATTGGGCGCCGATTCTAACATCGAATCGGAATTATCATTACCGTGTAATTTATTCCACACTCAAGGTCATCGTTTATAGTGGGGATCAAGCCCCTAGGTTGATTAATTAGCGTGATCGATCCAGACCTCGATCATTGCTCTTGTATTACTGGTCTGGTGGTGGCAGCAGAGGTGACTCTAGGGTTTTGTTCAGAGCTTAGGTCACGTCATATTGGGTGTAGAATCCTAAGTCGGTCAATCGTCTTAGGACCACGTGGCGTGGAGTTGGCTTTGTTAAAAGTTTTGGAGTCCCTTGGTTTAGAAATAAAAGTAAGACTACGGGTAGAGGGAGTAGAAAGAAGGAAGTAAAGAGAGAGGGAACCAACCCGTGTTACAATGGTGGCAGCGGTGGGATCAGTAATACAAGAGCAATGATCGAGGTCTGGATCGATCACGCTAATTAATCAACCTAGGGGCTTGATCCCCACTATAAACGATGACCTTGAGTGTGGAATAAATTACACGGTAATGATAATTCCGATTCGATGTTAGAATCGGCGCCCAATGCAACTCTGCCTCGTGTGGACCACGTGACCAGGACAAGTATACACATAAAACACATGGAAACAATAAAATGCAAATTAATAACAAATTTAATTTATTAAAAGAAAACTAAAACAAAATCTAAATATGTTCACTCCCTATCACTTTAACACTCCCTACTTGACCTGAGTGGCAAATGAGAAGACTATTTCTATAATTAACAATAGCAACTATACCTTGGGCGACCAGCTAGATGTTTTGGCTGGTCTTGGGGAGAGGTAAGATGTTTGACCTCTTATCCCAGCTGCTCCCGTTTCCACACTGATCTCTCTCTTGTCTGGTCTACCCCAGACTAGAACATTGTATTGTTCCGCATCGCTTACCCAGTTACTTTAGCAAGGTTAAGTTATAACAATTAAACTCTGTTGTACTTAATTGATCCAGACTGGTTGAATTATTTTACTGAATTAAATTACAAACATCTAACGGCAGAGCTGTTCCCGATCACAAAAATGGTTATTAAAACTTTGAGAAATAGTAGACCTGTCAACCCCTGATGACCTATGACCGCCGGTCACTCCGCCTTAAAAGTTAGATCTGATTCGTGACGTCACTGATGGTGACTTAAACTCAATAATTAGAATACTCTTGATATTGTATCCAGTACTATTATACAATACAATTTTAATGCAAAATGAATAAAGGCTAATTTTCTCTAAATTACTGAATACTATAGGATGATTCATTTTACGCAGCTATGAACAAAGCGTTGGTTATTTCCACCGCGAATTCCCCTGGGGGTCAGGTCACCATGCGGCTCAGCTTCCCATTCTCTTTTGTCGATAAACCACTCTGGATAATTCTTACAACAGCCTAGTCTGTTACAACCCCCCGCACAAGCACTTAGTAAACCTTGTTAATTTGTTAAAATTCACGAGGTTTAGTATCCAAACCCACAATTCAACTCATGCCACAAACAAAAGCTACCCTAACTAATGAAATTTGACAAATATTTGAGTGTCCAACATCAACATGTTCATATTTCATAAATTTCTCAGCTGTCAACTGACAGCAATCCTCTAACATCAGGAAACATACATCCTATCACTTTAACACTCCCTACTTGACCTGAGTGGCAAATGAGAAGACTATTTCTATAATTAACAATAGCAACTATACCTTGGGCGACCAGCTAGATGTTTTGGCTGGTCTTGGGGAGAGGTAAGATGTTTGACCTCTTATCCCAGCTGCTCCCGTTTCCACACTGATCTCTCTCTTGTCTGGTCTACCCCAGACTAGAACATTGTATTGTTCCGCATCGCTTACCCAGTTACTTTAGCAAGGTTAAGTTATAACAATTAAACTCTGTTTGTACTGAATTGATCCAGACTGGTTGAATTATTTTACTGAATTAAATTAAAAACATCTAACGGCAGAGCTGTTCCCGATCACAAAAATGGTTATTAAAACTTTGAGAAATAGTAGACCTGTCAACCCCTGATGACCTATGACCGCCGGTCACTCCGCCTTAAAAGTTAGATATGATTCGTGACGTCACTGATGGTGACTTAAACTCAATAATTAGAATACTCTTGATATTGTATCCAGTACTATTATACAATACAATTTTAATGCAAAATGAATAAAGGCTAATTTTCTCTAAATTACTGAATACTATAGGATGATTCATTTTACGCAGCTATGAACAAAGCGTTGGTTATTTCCACCGCGAATTCCCCTGGGGGTCAGGTCACCATGCGGCTCAGCTTCCCATTCTCTTTTGTCGATAAACCACTCTGGATAATTCTTACAACAGCCTAGTCTGTTACATGATAATGGTCCAGTACGGGGTGCAGCTAATGGTCTAGGTTACTGTGGCACAGTAAGACTGTGGCACAATAAGACTGTGGCACAGTAAGACTGTGGCACAGTAAGATAACTTACTGAGGATCGGTCAGCCTGTGGCGTGTGTGTGCAGGCAAGTCTCTCTGGTAAGTCTGGTTTAATTGCTCCTTCTTAAGGGAAATGTAGAAATTATACGTTTGGCTGTATGCATTTATTAATTAATTATTTGTTTTTTAATTATTAATTTTTTTTTTATTTTTTATTTTAGAATACAGAAGGCAGCCACATGTTGAGTGTGTTAGTGAGTGTGTCTACCTCCCCCCCCCCACACACCTGAGTGAATACTCCTATTATTATTATTATTATTATTATTATTATTATTGGTGACGTTAGTAGTAGTAGCAGGAGCAGTAGAAGTGCTGCTGGTAGTAAACAAATTCAAGTAGTGGTTGAATTAACAATTTTGTTTTAATTCGCATTATTATTATGATTATAATTAATGTAACATGATTATCATAAATATTATTTTACAAATTATATACCTTTGCATGACTTAAGTTAAGCATCTATACTTGCAACTGTAACACACCACTAGGACGTGTGTATGGTGGTGAGGCGCTGGTGGTGTGAGGCTGTGGCGAGGCCCTCACCGCCTCGTGTGTGGTGGTGTGAGGCTGTGGCGAGGCCCTCACCGCCTCGTGTGTGGTGGTGTGAGGCTGTGGCGAGGCCCTCACCGCCTCGTGTGTGGTGGTGTGAGGCTGTGGCGAGGCCCTCACCGCCTCGTGTGTGGTGGTGTGAGGCTGTGGCGAGGCCCTCACCGTCTCGTGTGTGGTGGTGTGAGGTGTGAGGCTGTGGCGAGGCCCTCGCCTCCTGTGCTGCCACACCCACTGCCTCGTGTGGCATCACTTAGTGTCTGTGCTCCCATGTATCAACCTTTCTCTCTCATTGTTTCATTTTGAATTAACTTCCTTAACCATTCAGAAAGTTAACGTAATCTAACTTAACAATTGTTTAAATGAAAAATAATTGTTTAACAAGCGGCACAACTCTTTTCAGGGAATGTTTTTTTTTCAAATAAGATATTTTTGTTTCATTATAGACCAGGTTTATGGCTTTTAAAGTATCAATTACAATTTGACGCATTCGCGTAAACACGAAGGTGAAAGGCCAGACAGCTTAAAGTTTCTCTCTCACACGCCAGTCACAGCGGGGAGAAAGGTTTCACTCCTCTCCTCACACAGCTCTGAGCGGGGAGGTTATATCTTGAGATAATTTCGGGGCTTTTTTTTTTTTTTTTTAGTGTCCCTGCGGCCCCTTCCTCGACCAGGCCTCCACCCCCAGGAAGCAGCCCGTGACAGCTGACTAACACCCAGGTACCTATTTTACTGCTAGGTAACAGGGGCATAGGGTGAAAGAAACTCTGCCTATTGCAGTCTCCGTGGTGTAGTGGTAAGACACTCGCCTGGCGTTCCGCGAGCGCTATGTCATGGGTTCGTATCCTGGCCGGGGAGGATTTACTGGGCGCAATTCCTTAACTGTAGCCTCTGTTTAACGCAACAGTAAAATGTGTACTTGGATGAAAAAACGATTCTTCGCGGCAGGAGATCGTATTCCAGGGACCTGCCCGAAACGCTACGCGTACTAGTGGCTGTACAAGAATGTGACAACTCTTGTATATATCTCAAAAAAAAAAATGTATTGTTTCTCGCCGGCGCCTGGGATTGAACCCAGGATCACAAGTCCAGTGTGCTGTCCACTCGGCCGACCAGCTCCCACATACGTGGGGATGTGGACATATCTGCGTGATCGTGTTCTCGGGATAAAAACTAGGACTACAGTTTAAGATAATTGAAAAATTTTTGAATTGTGGAATTATTGTATTAAAGATGGAGTGATGCAAAAGAAAGAATACAGCCAAAAGGTTTTTTTGCTACTAAATACACAGATATACATTCCCATTCCAACTTATGTATTTTTCCAGTGTAAAGTGTTAACAGTCATTGTAATGCTGGGATCTTTGGCAATCCGCCAGCTTCCTGTTCCCAGTCGAGGCCGCTATAGAGAGATGGTGGCCCTCAGGTAAACCAGGTAATAATATATAAGTTACTCTTAAATTGCCATTATACTAGTATCGTTTTCTATAACAGGTGTCAAGCAAGAGTGGAGCACGAAGCAAGGAGCCGCTCAAGGGGGGACTACCACAAATTAGAATCGACGAGTACCAGGAGCCAGCATGTCGGCCCCCTCCTATCTCCCGTCCGCCCAGGGTTCACATAAGAGAGAATAAGGTGGCTCCTCAGGTGAATAGGGAGTACTTGCTTCGTGTTCACTTTACCCTGCAGGAAACTCTAATTTACTCGTATTAAAAAATCTATATAAACAGCTGTTAATAAGTATATTATATAACACCATTACCCATCACACAGATTTCTCGTGCACATCTAACATTAAAGTAATGAAGTTGTTATAAGCGTTTAGAGAAGCGAGTGGCAGATGTGTGGTGATCCTTGTGTTTAGATCCAAGTAACATTCATTTGCAGTTTGAACCCAAACTATCATGACTGTAAGCCACAAGTATAGTTGTGGACACC